AGCCATGTACCAAAAAAAAAAAAAAAAAAAAAAAACGGAGGGAGTGAAAAGTTTTGCAATTTCTTAATAGAAATCAGTTTCGTCCTCATTTCTCTTTTTGACAGTACGTACCCGCTTCTGTGTCCGTGACCTAAAAGATTATTAGGGGTCGTTGGCTGATCAAAGATAAAAAAACGGTAGCGGTTGGTCTAATGCCGTCTTGAGGTGACATCCATCTAACCCCTAAAATTTGAACTTTGAATCATTAGCTTTTCACATTTGTATATATATATATATATATATATATTATAGATTATTATGTTTATTTTTAACCGGCGGTTGAGGTATCGACCCGCACGTTTTAACTAAGTGATATTCATTCTAATTTAGTAGGATCACTTTCGTGAACTGCACAACTCGATTAAGTAGCATTGATTCTAAATTAATAAGATCACCTCTATAAATTATAATTTTGAATTTTATGGATTTTCTTCCTTGATCCCCTTACCCCTCCCCCAATTGTAATCATGTTAAAAAAAAAAAAGAGTTGAGGTATCACAATTTTTTTACTTAAATACTGGTGTTCTAGTTTATTCATAATGTTCTATAATAAAAATTCTTAAAATTTATATTTATTGATAAATAAATATTATTTTGTAAATTTTTTTTTTTGAACAGCAAAACTTTATTGATAATGAGTACAAGGGGTACCCAACCCATGCATTTACACAAAACAACACAAAACCCAGCCACTTAATGTTAATTCCATCTTTCAAACTATTTCTCCCTAGCGATTCCCACCACAATTCACAATGAGGCATGCAATAGGGTTGCTTAACCAGTCCGAAAGAGTAAAGTAACACCAGGCTTTTTTTGCTTTAATCCATAAGAACAATCGTACTTGAACCAGTTCGAATAGCTTACCCGAGTTCATCTCAAGGTTCTGGAAGATCCTTTGATTCCTCATCAGCCAAATGGACCATACTACTGCGCTCCAGGTGAAATCCCATCCTTTCTTGATCCTCATGTTTTTGGACCACGCCCCAGGATGTTCAAAAGTCTTCCAGCAGTCCACTTGAGTCTCTATATTGATCCCCCACCACCTAGCACACTCCTTCCATATCCATCTTACCTTTTTGCATTTCAAGAACAGATGGGTTGCATCTTCTTCTTCTTCTTGACACAGGTTGCAAATGCCATCACCCATTGTTGCGCCAAGACCTCTTTTCA